GTTTGGAGGGTTTTTGGAGGGTTTGAGGCCTGGCAAACGGCAGCCTTGAACGCCTATAAGAAGCCATTGCAGCGGCCGGAAGGTGCCCTTGAGCCATTGCTGTGGCCTTGTGGTGGCTTGTGCGTGCGGGAGTGGCGCGTGTTGGGCTTGTTGGGGTACCTTGTCCCTGCGGAGCTATGCGAACTTTTGGAGCGTTTAACGGCAGCCTTGAACGCCTATAAGAAGCCATTGCTGCGGCCGGAAGGTGCCCTTGAGCCATTGCTGTGGCCTTGTGGTGGCTTTTGCGTGCGGGAGTGGCGCGTGTTGGGCTTGTTGGGGTACCTTTTCCCTGCGGAGCTATGCGAACTTGTGGAGGGTTTTGGAGGGTTTGAGGCCTGGCAAACGGCAGCCTTGAACGCCTATAAGAAGCCATTGCAGCGGCCGGAAGGTGCCCTTGAGCCATTGCTGTGGCCTTGTGGTGGCTTTTGCGTGCGAGCATTGCGCCTGGAGGGCTTGTTGGGTTACTTTGTCCATGCGGAGCTGGGCGAACTTTTGGAGGGTTTGGAGCGTTTGGAGGGTTTTGGAGGGTTTTGGAGGGTTTGAGGCCTGGCAAACGGCAGCCTTGAACGCCTAAAAGAAGCCATTGCTGCGGCCGGGGTGTGCCCTTGAGCCATTGCTGTGGCCTTGTGGTGGCTTTTGCGTGCGGGAGTGGCGCGTGTTGGGCTTGTTGGGGTACCTTTTCCTCGCGGAGCTGGCCGGACTTTTGGAGGGTTTGGAGGGTTTTGGAGCGTTTGAGGCCTGGCAAACGGCAGCCTTGAACGCGTATAAGAAGCCGTTGCTGCGGCCGTGGGGTGCCCTTGAGCCATTGCTGTGGCCTTGTGGTGGCTTTTGCGTGCGGCAGTGGCGCGTGTTGGGCTTGTTGGGGTACCTTTTCCCTGCGGAGCTGGCCGGACTTTTGGAGGGTTTGGAGGGTTTTGGAGGGTTTGAGGCCTGGCAAACGGCAGCCTTGAACGCCTATAAGAAGCCATTGCTGCGGCCGGGAGGGGCCCTTGAGCCATTGCTGTGGCCTTGTGGTGGCTTTTGCGTGCGGGAGTGGCGCGTGTTGGGCTTGTTGGGGTACCTTTTCCCTGCGGAGCTATGCGAACTTTTGGAGGGTTTGGAGGGTTTTGGAGGGTTTGAGGCCTGGCAAACGGCAGCCTTGAACGCCTATAAGAAGCCATTGCAGCGGCCGGAAGGTGCCTTGTCCCTGCGGAGCTATGCGAACGTTTGGAGGGTTTGGAGGGTTTTGGAGGGTTTGAGGCCTGGCAAACAGCAGCCTTGAACGCCTATAAGAAGCCATTGCAGCGGCCGGAAGGTGCCCTTGAGCCATTGCTGTGGCCTTGTGGTGGCTTGTGCGTGCGGGAGTGGCGCGTCTTGGGCTTGTTGGGGTACCTTTTCCCTGCGGAGCTATGCGAACTTTTGGAGGGTTTGGAGGGTTTTGGAGGGTTTGAGGCCTGGCAAGGTGCCCTTGAGCCATTGCTGTGGCCTTGTGGTGGCTTTTGCGTGCGGGAGTGTTGGGGTACCTTTTCCCTGCGGAGCTATGCGAACTTTTGGAGGGTTTGGAGGGTTTTGGAGGGTTTGAGGCCTGGCAAACGGCAGCCTGGAACGCCTATAAGAAGCCATTGCTGCGGCCGGAAGGTGCCCTTGAGCCATTGCTGTGGCCTTGTGGTGGCTTTTGCGTGCGGGAGTGGCGCGTGTTGGGCTTGTTGGGGTACCTTTTCCCTGCGGCGCTATGCGAACTTTTGGAGGGTTTGGAGGGTTTTGGAGGGTTTGAGGCCTGGCAAACGGCAGCCTTGAACACCTATAAGAAGCCATTGCAGCGGCCGGAAGGTGCCTTGTCCCTGCGGAGCTATGCGAACGTTTGGAGGGTTTGGAGGGTTTTGGAGGGTTTGAGGCCTGGCAAACGGCAGCCTTGAACGCCTATAAGAAGCCATTGCAGCGGCCGGAAGGTGCCCTTGAGCCATTGCTGTGGCCTTGTGGTGGCTTGTGCGTGCGGGAGTGGCGCGTGTTGGGCTTGTTGGGGTACCTTTTCCCTGCGGAGCTATGCGAACTTTTGGAGGGTTTGGAGGGTTTTGGAGGGTTTGAGGCCTGGCAAGGTGCCCTTGACCCATTGCTGTGGCCTTGTGGTGGCTTTTGCGTGCGGGAGTGGCGCGTGTTGGGCTTGTTGGGGTACCTTTTCCCCGCGGAGCTATGCGAACTGTTTGAGGGTTTGGAGGGTTTTGGAGGGTTTGAGGCCTGGCAAACGGCAGCCTGGAACGCCTATAAGAAGCCATTGCAGCGGCCGGAAGGTTCCCTTGAGCCATTGCTGTGGCCTTGTGGTGGCTTTTGCGTGCGAGCATGGCGCCTGGAGGGCTTGTTGGGTTACTTTGTCCCTGCGGAGCTCGGCGAACTTTTGGAGGGTTTGGAGCCTTTGGAGGGTTTTGGAGGGTTTTGGAGGGTTTGAGGCCTGGCAAACGGCAGCCTTGAATGCCTAAAAGAAGCCATTGCTGCGGCGCAACGTTGGGCGTGGCAAGGGTTCAAGAAAGACAGGATCCACACCTCCGGTGGTCCCAGGCGCCGCCCCGGCCTTGGAAGGCCGGGGTCGGCGGATTTGGGACTTAACTGATGGAATACTGGTTTGTTTGAGAGTTCATGTTTCTATATTTTTCTTAATATGCCACAAGAAATGGGGGTGAATGGCAGTTTTCAGAGGGGTAGGTTTGGTTGCCGATGATTCTTGATACCCGATCGTGAGGTTTTGCCAATTCTTGCTATATAGTCATATAGTCATTTGACCATCCGCATATCCAAGATTAGGCTTGTTGTTTTATATTGGCCTGATGATTTTCACAGTGACCATTGGATAAAATAGTACCTAACGCGACAAAAATGAGTCGCCACAGGGTCATACTCAGCTGATTGGTAAATATAATCCAAGTACACGCTAGCATCATACAGAAATTCTCGTCTAAGATGTAACCATGAACTTCTCACAAGCTGCCGCAGCAGCCGAGAAAGCGCCATCTCAGGCCCCCTTAAAGGGCCGTTGCAGCTTGGGCGGAGCTGCACCCCGGTGCCTGGCTCGTTTTGGTGTTTTTGGAAAGGGTTGTACATCCCCAGCACCAATGGATACACATACAACAGAATTCTGAAGCATTTTCACAAGTCTGAAACAAACCATTTGTTTGGATGTCACTTATTGATTAGCTGAATCCCAAAAGCCTCCAGGGCTTCTGTCTATAGGAGCTGACGAGGGGGTACGTATACATATCCAAAGTGGCCGCGCATGCAAAACATATGTAAAACTCATATGAAACATAGATTTTTACGTTGGTGGAACGAATGTGATGCGTATGTGAAGCGTATGTGCAGCGCAAGTGAAAACATATGTGAGCCGTATGTGAAATATATGTGAAACATATGCGAAATACATGTGACATATTAACGTATTTTGGGACTGGATTGCGTTGTGTTTATGTTTTACTTATGTATACGTTTGCGAATTTATGTGTTCTTTTTATGCCGGAGGAAAAATAAGACCTTATTTTGTGCAAATCACGCAAAATAAGGCCTTATTTTGGAACGCACGTAAAGAAAACATAAACAAAACGCAAACGAGAACGCAAACACATTTTGTAACGTTTGTGCTTGTACATGTGTATATGGTTTATGTTTTATTTATGTCGGGAGAAAAATAAGACCTTATTTTGGGCAAATAAGGCCTTATTTTATCGCTTACGTAAAAGAAACGCAAACAGAAACATAAAGAAAACAGCTAGTAGCCGCAATTTCTAGATATGTCGGGAATATGCGTTTTGTTTGCGTATTTGAAGCCGTTTATGTATGCGTATGCGCAGGCCAGTCCAAGACGGGCTCTATTGTGAAAGCCTTTGAAACCCTGCTAACTTATTGAATTTTGTGCATAGTTCAAGAGTTTGCATTTGCAGCACAGGCTTTGACCTTTAGACGCGCCGAAAGTGAAAGTGATGTCACTTATCTGCCCCCATTGCAACAGGGTGGTAAAGTAAGTCGTTCTAATTTTCCAGTAATGAGGTAGTTTACAAACCCAGCCCACTTATTTCATCACCAAATTCCTCAATTGATCGGTGCCTCAACTACCAACTAAGTAACGGGTGGAGATCACCAGTATTAATATCGCCAACATTTGTGTTTTTACCCATGCTATCTTGGGTGAAACCTCAACTTCCTATGCTTCTTTTTGCTTGGCTCATGGCTCAACAGCAGCCCATTTTGATGAAGCAGAACTTACGCCCTGTGCACCTCCACTTTAGAAATGCATGTATGGGCATAATAGGCCATTGACTATATGACTATATGACACTGACTATATGTATTTTTGTTGTATTATAGGATTTTATCAGCTCTATCCTAACTTTTGCCATCAAGTATGCTTCAAGTGAAGGTAGCTTTGACGAGCGGTCGAAGTGAGAACTTGTCGCTGGGCAAGTCGAAACGACGAGGAACTGACTCTGCAAGCCGCCGGTCTTCAGCTAACGGACAGCTAGTTGTGCCATTGTACAACAAGCAAAATTGGCAGCAGGCAAGGCTTTTGCCTTGTGCTGTGGAGGTAGCAGCATTGTCATATGGGGAAGTCCTGATCATGGAGCTGACACTTCTGCAGTTCAAGGCAAGCTCAAGAACGTGCAACAGATTCAGGCAACCGGTGGCGCATTTGCCGCGCTCCTTGGAGATGGTTCAGTTGTTACTTGGGGGAGTTCACATGCTGGTGGTGACAGCTCTGCAGTACAAGATCAGCTAGAGAATGTACAACAGGTTGAAGGCACTGATTATGCGTTTGCTGCCATCTTGTCAGATGGATCTGTCGTTACATGGGGCGATCCACAGGATGGTAGTGACAGCTCTTCTGTACAGGATCAACTCAGAAGTGTGCAGCAGGTCCAGGCCACCTGGGGTGCTTTTGCTGCGATTCTGGCAGACAGATCAGTTGTTTGTTAGGGCAATCCAAGTTGCGGTGGTGACAGTTCTGCGATTCAAGATCAGCTAAGGGCTGTGCAGCAGATTTGGTTCGGAGGCCTTGCGTTTGCTGCAAGTCTAAGTGACGGATCAGTCGTTATATACTTGGGGTGACCCAGAACATGGTGGTAACAGCTCCACAGTCCAAGATCAACTCAGGAATGTGCAGCAGGTTCAGGGCAGTTTGGGTGCATTTGCCGCCATTTTGGGAGATGGATCTGTGGTCACGTGGGGCAAGGCAGATTGTGGTGGTGACTGCTCCGCAGTCCAAGGTCAACTGAAGGATGTCCGACAAATCCATGCCACGGAGCGTGCCTTTGCTGCCATCCTGGGAGACAGATCTGTGGTCACCTGGGGCAAGGCAGATTGTGGTGGTGACAGCTCCTCAGTTCAAGACCGACTCAAGAACGTGCAATGTAGTGGCAGCGTTGCAACTCCTGGCGATGTCCCAGGGGATGACAACTGCTGATGGCTTTAGAATGCTTGAGCCCCCTTCTTCCCGCTTTCAATGGTGAAGCACTGTCGTGAGTCGTGTACTGTAGGACGGTGTGGCGTGTCAACAAAAGGTGCTTCAGCGGCTTCAGCGGAACTTCAGCCTGTCGGCATTTGATGAATAGAAACGCCCATCACATCACACGCAGATGATTTTCACATGTTTTCATTGATTTTCTGGGGATGGACAGGATTCAGCGCCGGAGGCTTTCTGCACGACCATTTCCAATATCGCAGATTTGTGGTTTTAGGTTTGGCATTTTTTTGGATGATTTCATTCGGCAAACAATGACAAAAAGTACAATAACAGTACAAACAGTTCCCGATTCTACAAATTCAGGCAACCGAGGGCGCATTTGCAGCGATCTTGGCAGATGACTCAGTTCTTACATGGGGTCGGTCAGACTCTGGCGGCGATAGCTCTGCAGTCAAAGACCAACTCGCTTTTGCGTAGCCGAGATTCTACTTGTTGCGGATGGAAAAGCGAGTTCGAGGATGACTTTTGGCGTGGAGATTTGTCCCTAATAATTCGTCCGAACGGGATCCCGCTGATATTTCATCAGAAATAGTGATTTCGTGATGCTTTGTGTGTCTGCCGAATATACAGTCCCAGGTGCTGCCGTAGTATTATTCCCAAGTATCGAGAACGTATTTGGTGTCAAACGGGTAAAATACATAGTTTCCAGTTACTGTAAGATTTTCCCTAAGACCAATCTATTGAATATCATAATAGCACAATAATATAATATTTCATAATATTTCCATATGAATTTCCATAATGATATTTTATATTCCCCCTTGATCCCAGATTTCCATACATGGCGAAAGCCCGAAACCGCGGTCTCACCCGCCGCATCACTCAGGTGCCGCAGCACTCCAGCAACTCTTCGACTGTGGGGATAAAAAATGGAAAGCCACGGTGCGGCTTCAGTTGGAATCATAATCCCATCCCCCGTTTATATCAATCACCCCTTTGATGATTTTAATGGTCCCAATGATGTGGTTTCATTCCCTACATCCACCATGGGTTCGTTTGGGGGTGTTGAATATGAACGGGGGATGTTTTTTTTTTAAAGAAATATTTACTCCACCATCTTGGGGGATGAAATGGGGATATTACAGTAAATGGGGATGTCAGGAGATACAATGGATGTTTAAATCCCTACTTTGAAGGGGTGCAGTTGAGGTGAAAAACATGGGTACCGTGGTGAACTAAACCCCCACAGTGCCGCAAGTATCCATAAGTTGGGATACAACCCCTATCCACTTACAACTGGCCACTGATAGCTGGAACTACACTTCCCAGATGAACATGGATTGATGACCATCCCGACCATCCCCCCAATATGGGTGCTTTTTGATCCATTTTTTGACCATGGCACATATAGGCAAATATCATCTTTGAAACCAGTTTGTTCGTACACTTTTGCCATATTCCCAGAATATACCATAATTCCCCATTCTAACCAGCGTTGCTCCAAGCCACTATAGTTAAATGATAGGAAAGAATGACAATCATATATAACCTCCTGTATCCATCAATTTTCAACCCTTGTATCTGGGGTGTTGCGAGCAAATATGACTTGGGGATGGGTTTGTCTGAAGATATTGGGAAAAACACTAGAATAGTTTTTCTTATTTAAACTGTTTTTCTTCCTTAATTAGAATCACGATGTTTGAGGTATACCGGTGGACCCCAATTTCAGTCACACCCTATGGCTCAACATGACTAACCCAAGAAATGTGATTGGTACATGCTGAACGTGACGAATTTTGTTGGTGGTTCATACCGTAATTCCTATATCTGAGCCACAGCTACCCAACCAAATAAGCTGGTGGCGCACATTCGGGGAGCAGTTTGGAGATATTTTGAAGCTGTTTGACATCACAAAATGAACCAATGAGTCCGCCGAGATCAATAAGTAGCAAGAGTGAGGAAGTGGTTGGGCTTGGGGGTTGTTTCTACAAAGATCGGGACATTTTCCATTTGGGGAATAAAAAAAGGGGAAGATTTCAACTTTTTTCAGAGCCATCCACCTTTTTGGATTCCACATGAAGAACTGGCATTTGATGGGTAAACACCCCTCAGACACAGCAAAATTTCATAGTTTGGCTTAGATATATCCTATTCATTCCTATTCCATCTTATTGTATCCTCGAAAAAATATATCCCCATGATATCCCCGTGGTTGGGTACACCTCCATCAACTTCCATCTGGTTGGTGGTTTGGAACATGACTGGATTATTTTTCCATGATATATGGGATGTCATCCTTCCCATTGACGAACTCATATTTTTCAAGATGGTTATTGCACCACCAACCAGTCCATTGATGTCCATGAAGAATCCCGTGAGACTTGATTCACATCGGTCAACTGCGTTCCGCATGGGTACCTTCAGGTTTCGGCTCCATTGCCTTTGGGGGGCAGTGCGCAAATCACGCGAGCAGGTTGCCCCCCAAACGGCATCAAAACATAGAGTTTCTGTTGATGTCTCGCAAGTGTGTTCTTATGCAGATTCCACAACTGTGCCAACTTCAGATTTCCACACAAAGTCAAGCTGACGAACAAGTGATGACCTAAAAAGACCAAAGTCAGTTTTTGAGTCTTGAAAGACAAGTCATCAAAGGATTGAGAGACGTGGATGTCTTAGCTCCACCTTTTGCAAGTTTCACCATGGCGGAGACTGGCAAGGTGCAGAGATGCCTGATATGGGTGTAGAAATGGGTATCTTCGCCAAATGGTCATTTTTTGGTTGAAAATGATGCTAAACTAGCAATTTTCGCTGTAACTACAATACATATTAAGACAAACAAAAACATCCGTACATGACCCTGAAAACTATAGAGGGTTACTTTGGGAAGAAAGTATGATCGTTGATGTTTGTGACACCCGTTAGAGGCTTGGGGGCCCTATGTTCAGTTCTCCCGTCACTTCCATACCATGTTTTAGTGCTGGCAAAGTCCGCAACAGTTAGGCAAACATGGCAAACATGGCAAACATGGCAAACATGGTCAGGAACATGTTAAAGATGATGATGTTAGTGATATTTCCCAAGTTTGTTGATGTTAAGTTTACATGGCAAACATGGCAAACATGGTCAAACAACATATCTCGAACATGATAATAAAATATGAGATCTTGTGATATTTCCCACGTTTGAGAAACCAGAAGACCAATTGGTTCATAAACCATCATAAAACATCATAAAGCATCATAAAACATTATAACACATCATAAAACATCATAAAACATCATAAAACATCATAAAACAGCATAAACCAGCATAAAACAACATAAAACATCATAAACCAACATAAAACAGCATAACACATTGTAAAAAAATCATAAAACATCATAAAACAGCATAAACCATTATAAAACATCATAAAACATCACAAAACAACATAAAACAGCATAAACCATTATAAAACATCATAAAACATCACAAAACAACATAAAACATCATAAAACATCATAAAACATCATAAAACATCATAGAACATCATAACACATGATAAAACATCATAAAACAACATAACGCATCATAGCACATCATAAAACATGATGAACCAAGATAAAACATCATAAAAAAACATAACACATCATAGCACATCATAAAAAATCATGAAACATCATCAAACATCATAAACCTGATAAAACATGATAAAACACCATAAAATAACATAACACATCATAACAGATCATAAACTATCATGAAACATCATCAAACATCATAAAGCATGATAAAACATGATAAAAACATCATAAAACAACATAACACATGATAGCACATCATAAAACATCATAAACCATCATAACACATCATAGAGCATGATAAAACAGCATAAAACATCATAACACATCATAAAACATCATAAAACATCATAAAACAGCATAACACATCATAAAACATCATGAAACATCATAAAACATCATAAAACTAACAACATAAAACATCAAAGTACATCAGAAAACATTATAAAACAACATAGCACATCATCACACATCATAAAACATCATAAAACATAATAACACATCATAACACATCATAAAACATGATAAAACATCATAGAACATCATAAAACAAACCTCAGGTCATTTAAACAACAATGATTGCAATAATCTTTGATACATTGATTTGGACACCCAAAGGCATTGGATCTTTTGAAGACCTCAGTTGTTTTTTCTACGCCCGGGTTATTTAACATAGCTATGAAAATTGGCCCAAAAATATAGATGATTTATGATGATTTACCTATGAAAGGTGGTGATTTTCCATAGCTACGTTCTTCAGGAGTTGGCTGTGGCCGAAGGGAACAAACAAGAGAGGCAGTGCCTTTGGCGTTGCGTTGTTTCGTGCTGGACGACATGTGCGTAAAACGGGGGGGGGGAAACCTACAAGAAATGGGCTGGAGATGTCACTAGGAAGGCTGGATGTAGTTGGACCGGACATTTGCGTTTGTCCTTGTTTCAAAAAGGGTGTGCGAATTTTGAACTGGGAGGCCAACCCCCTGAGATAGTTGGATGACCCCCAATTTCTTTGAATACAAGATCGAAACACCCCTACAGTATTTTTTCCACCTAGACGTGGAGTTACACCCCGGAGAACTTCCATTTTTCACATCCATCAACTGATCGTCTTTTTTTCACTTCGAGCTAGACAATTCGTCACCACCAGCTGGGAGTTTTTCCGTGTCTCCGACCAAAAAAAAAGGGGCGACTCGTTGGTGTCCAACGCCTCAGGTTCAAAGCTGATCAACAGAAACCCTTAGATACGCCCAGAACTCGTGAGGCGGCTGCCGAACTGCCCCGTGTTTCATTCTTTTTCTACCCTCTGGTTTTGACTAAGAGATTGCGAACTGGAGAATTACCATGAACATTATAAATATATATGTATGAATATATCACTATTCATTATATCATATCAGTTCATATTATATCATATCATCAATCCAAAATAGATCGTTATTATTCATTATTAATCCACATTATTCATCTGGTTGATCATTATATTCATCCATGATATATATATTATATGACATTATTGATTATTGATATCATTATATTATTGATTATTCATATGGTTATTCATTAATGGATCATTATTATCCATATCCTTTCCATATCATAAATCATCATCCCCCAAAAAAGAATCCAGAATATCCATAATCATCACAATCATTAATCCATGATCATAAATATTCATCCATGATATCATCTGTAAATGCTCCATGGCTTCCAGTTCGCCTTCGCAACTTCTCCAGGCCTGTCGCCGCTTGGGCCTGGTCCCGGAGGATCTACAGCACCATGCCCCAAAGCGGCCGGGGATGCCCCAAGAATTTTACCCCAAAAATAGGAACATATATATATAGATATATAGATATATATATAGATATATATATATAGATATATATATATATAGATATATATATATAGATATATAGATATATATATATATATATATATATATAGATATATATATATAGATATATAGATATATATATATATAGATATATATAGATATATATATATAGATATTTAGATATAGATATATATATAGATATATATATATATAGATATATAGATATATATATATATAGATATATATAGATATATATATAGATATATATATAGATATAGATATATAGATATATAGATATATATAAGATATATATATAGATAGATATATATATATATAGATATATAGATATATAGATATATATATAGATATATAGATATATAGATATATATATATAGATAATATCTAGATATATATATTATAAGATATATATATATATTAGATATATATATAGCATTATTAGATATATAGATATATATATATATATATATTAGATATATATAGATATATATATAGATATATAGATATATATATATATAGATATATAGTATAGAGATAGTATATATATAGATATATAGATTATATATATATATAGATATTAGATATATAGATAATATAGATATATAGATAATAAAATATATAGATATATAGATATATATATAGATATATATATATATAGATCTATAGATATATATATAGATATATAGATATATAGATATATATATATAGATATATAGATATATATATATAGATATATATATAGATATATATATAGATATATATATATATAGATATATATATATAGATATATATTATATATATGTATATATATAGATATATATATATTATATATGTATATATATATTATATGTATGTATATATATATACACGAAAAAAATGATGTTTTAGTTTTTGGCCACGAAAATGATCATGTGGCAATTATGACCATATCCTTGGGAACATGGGAATGATGATGAACACTGATCATATCATTTTTTTTCCTGGTCAATTGCCGAGACCTCACAACCAAAGAAAACCCAGCGAAATCATCCTCATATCAGATTTATTTCACTGATAATATCCTAAACTTTTCGTATGGTTCATGAGTGTCTGAAATTTAAACGGCGAATCATCCTCAAAGAAGTTTGTGAATCATGGTGGGGAGTGCCCAGATATACTGTGGTTACACATGCTTAAGCCTTGCTTGGGCAGTCTCATACTTTATTTTTTGCCATGCGGTGATATACTAACCTACCTAGCCGAAGATGATTTCTTTTGCGTATCTAAGAATCTAAGATTAGCTATGTGTACTATTGTCATGTATTATCATTTTTTCTGTTTTTCATCATGTATTCTTTACTGTTCCCAGCCGTTCCCAGCCAGTTGCGAGCTGAGCAACTGAGGATCAGATCTTTTGAATCTTTCTTCATCCCCGGAGATCTCAAGGACAAGGGATCAGCAGATGGAAATTCCTTTGGCTTTTCGGCTTTTCATTTCATCAGATTCACCAGGGGTCCTTTGTAACCTTGGTATTTTGATGTATTTTGCATTTTTTGGTAGGATTAAGCAATGTTGAGCATCTTTTTTTTTGAGGGGTAGATATGGTGTGCTCCCTCAGATGTTTATAAAGGGCATGGCTCAACGACCTGCCACTGCGAAAAACTGCCGAGATAGAAACGGGAAACCAAGAACACTGGAAACCAAACAGATCCACCCCTGAATCTTCACACAGAACCTCAGAAAGTGTTTTTTTGTTATAAGTTGGCTTATAACCACCATGAACTATAGTTACAAGTATCATAAACCATAATTCTTGGAGTTTTTTGCACCAACTTAGCTATCTAAATTCGGGGGCCCCAGTTTGTTGGGGACGTCGCCAGGAGAAACATCAGCTTCGCTTTGAACATTATGAGAAGAAACGGAAGGACGGACGCTACGACGTTGGCGCCTGGCTTTCGATGGGGGAAGCACCTAATGGAAACAAGCCATGGCCATGAAAAAAGGTGGAACGTGAAGCTTTAAAGCTGGCCCGTTGAAATAGGGAGTACCCTATTTTCAGACAAGACCAAACAGAGATAAATCAGATCTGCAACGCCATGCTGCTAAACCATTTTTGTGGCCATAGGATCTGGTTTGGATCTGGTTTTGATCTCGTGGTTCTGCAAAAAACAGTTCCGCTCCATACTTCACTGGAAATGCTTCCGCCAAGTTCCAGTTGCTGGCCTTGTTTTAAGTCACTGGTCGGTGCCTTTTTAGGGGAAAAAGGGATGATAAAGCAGTGGAATTTGGGGGTAATTACTCTGTTTTGGGACAAATCCAAATGATGCAAGATTGGATGATAGAGAGTAGTCCTTGGTACTGAACATTTAGCCATTAGTTGGGTTGTAGCAATTTGTCAACAATGTCCAAGATCCAGCATGGCATAGATAGGCTCCTAACCACCGTTTTCTACAAATCTGTATCATGTAGGTTTTTTGAAAGATGGTACTGGTAAATGCAGTGATTAAGTATTATTTTCCCACAAAAAGCAGTAGTTTCCCTCTGAAACCCCCCAATTTTGGCCCAGAATTGCCGGTGATATCCCATTGCGTCCTCATAAAATTCCATTAAAACCACATAGATTAGTTGAAGAATCACTGTTCTACATATTTATATATATATATATATTTATGAACAACGTGACTCCCCCAAGACAGCTAAGTTGACTTCTAACTTGGTTAAGTACGCTTTATGGCTGATACAACGAACTAGTTGATGGGGTTTCCAAACCAACAAACATAAGGTTTGGGGGGCCTCACCTTGAATATAAATATTGATCCACATGATATATACATATAACATATAATTATATATATATATACATATGATATATATATATATGATATATATATATACTTATATAACCATATTATATATACATATTATATATATATATACACATATTATATATGGTTTATATCCTTGAAAATCCGTCCAGGTTTTCCTGTATGAACCAACCAAATCACCCGTGGGAGGAGCGATTTTCCCAAGTTCTTGCCGAGAGGGCCAAGGCGACCAAAAGCCGAAAGGGCCGGTTTTTTGTTGTGAGGATAGGGGTGTTTGAATGGATAGAACATGTTTATATATGTTTATTTCGGAAGAGCCAGGAAGAGGTTTAAGATGGTTAAGATGGTTCAAGATGGTTTAAGATGGTTTAAGATGGTTTAAGATGAATAATAGATGGCCTAAGATGGCTTAAGATTGATTTAAGATGGTTTAAGATGCTTTCCGACGCTTTACGTTTAGGATGTTTTAAGATGCCTTAAGATGCTTCCAGGCGGGTTGAAGACGATTTAGGATATCTTCAATCAAAGACATGAGGGGTTTCAGATGGTTTAAGCAAGGAAAAGCTTGGACCTCTGGGAAGTTGAAGATTGATTGGTTGTAGCAGCGGAAATCCAAGGGCTCTTACCAATCCACAACTCAATTCCATTCAATTCCATGTTTTTTGGGTTAGGTAAATACACTATATACTATATACAATTCCATTTTTGAGTTGAGGGGATGCACATCCATTTACAAACTATGTTGGAGTTCAGCAGCATACTGGTAGCAGGGTTTTAACACATACCCATATAGGTTCTGGTGGTGTATACCTCTCCCTCGGTATATATACACATACATATATATCATATATGTATGTAGATATTACAAAGTACGATCAATATGTATGATATGCACACTAATATATATATATATATAGACATGAGATATAATTACACCATATATAATATGGCAATGTTAGCCATATATTATATATGATATACACATTTATATATGATATATGATAGAAACCAATATATTTACATGTTATACCAATGATTACATAACAACCATACCAATATTAGATACTGTACTCTCCAGAAATCAAACATGGCGTGCTCCTTGCACAAATGAGTTTCCCAGCTATAAACCTCCATTCATAGGGGTTGTTCTCATATTTTTCCATAACAGCATTTCCCAACTATTAATCAGCAAATCAAGTTTATAAGGGATGATTTTTCCCTTCAACCCCCCATATTTCGTTGGGGTACCCTCTAGTAAACTAACATGGCTATGGAAAATTACCATGTTTCACAGGTATATTAACATATATTAACTATAAATAGCAAAGGCTATATTAACATATATTTACAATATTAACATGGCTATATTAACATATATTAACATATATTAAATGGACATTTTCAATAGCAAACTGTTAAGTTCCCGGTGGGTATTTCCCAGCCATATTTGATGACGAGGGTCTTTCGCGTATTTCGGCAGGTCATCGCCGAGAACGCCAAGAAGGGTGACCTTCCGGGTGCGCAAAGCGCGCAGGCGGGGAAGATTTTTTGAAATGTGGAATGGCCATGTTATATATGTTATTCTAGTTATATGTTTACACATATATATATATAGTATGTTTCTGTAAGAACATGGCCATGACATAGTAACTATCTCATTGTTTTTTTTAGTGTTATATGTTATATATATATACCCTCTGGTAAACTAACATAGCTATTGAAAATGGCCATTTATAGTGAGTTTCGCATTAAAAATGGTGATTTTCCATGGTTATGTTAATTTACCAGAGGGTATATAATAGAGGTTCCCTCCATTCAACAACCAATAGATAAATTATCATAACTGGTTGGTGGTTTGGAACATGACTTTTATGACTTTCCATATATTGGGAATGTCATCATCCCAACTGACGAACTCATATTTTTCAGAGGGGTTGAAACCACCAACCAGTAATATACGTGTATATATATATATATATAGTATGTTTCTCTAAGAACATGGCCATGACATAGTAATTATCTCACGTCTTTTTTTTTCTCTGGTTACGAAAAAGATATGGACAACACATGTTCTGACACATGGGATGCATTGAAGTAATTGAAGGCTCTGCAGCTGGGTCGCAGATGTTGACCTTCATGGTGAGGAAGAAATGTTATCTTCACCATCTGATATTGGGGTTTTGAATGGGTTTGTTCCATCAAAAATCCAATCCAATGGTAGATTTACATTTTTATCGTTGCTGTATTGGGTTTTTTTCGATGGTTTGGGCAAGTTTTGATGTGAGAATCCAATCTAAAAATGACCCAAGAACTGCGTTGTTTCACACCGCGCAGTTCTTGTCCATGTTGGAGTCGCTCTTTGAAAAAGAAGCCAAGCGAATGGAGATCGACATGAAGGCGCGGCGACAAGGGGAAAGTAGGTGGGTAGCGGCTCCGCTGAGTGACTGAATGGACTTCCACACACACATGTGTGTATATATATATATACATACACATTGTAGATCATATACTTATATATAATATAATATACTATATATATATATATTGATAGAATATGCATGTAGATTGATAGAATATGCTACCATCATATACACCATCCATGCATCGTATACCTACATGACAGTGGTGTTTGGTGCAAATGTTGGCATTTTCGATACCCATACGTGGACGATTCCTGCCTCGACCCGAGGCAAGGGGAGCGACTGATCTAGTTTTCTTTTTGTGCCTTTTTATCATATATATATATAGATATATGGAGGTTTCCTGAAATGGGGGTAGCCCTAAATTCCTAAATCATTCATATAAAGATCTCTATATATATATAGATTTATGGAAAATTCCTAAATTCCTAAATCATTCATGGAAAATTCCTAAATATTCATATTATAGATGGATTTTCCATGAAGTAAACCATCCAGCCAGCTCGCTTCGGGTAGCCCCAAATTCCTATGGAAACCGCCCGGTTCATCCCCTTGGACCTCAGGGGCAACTGCGACAACATAGCTCCTTGGTCAAGGACGTCGTTCAGCGCAACGTTGGACCCATAGCGTACCAACAGATGGGGAAATACATGACAGATCAGTACATACACATACAATCACATACATATATATATATATATGTGGTAATGACATACACATGATATCTTTACTTGATGTATGCACACTTTATACATGTCCATACATGCCAACTTCTCACCCTCCAAGCTGGGGGTCTCCGATTTCCTCATAGAATTGGAGGGAACATTGGACCCCCCTGGATTTATCGCTCAAGACCATGGTTTCCTGTCACTCCATAGATGTTTGATGAACTAGCCTACCGGTAATCGAACCTGGCTCATTTGCCCTCAAAAAACATGGTGTCTTCATAGGAAAAAACCATTGGACTCCATTGGACTTTTATTTTCATTGTCCTTTGGTTTGAGGTATAAGAACCATTGACATCTCAAATGAACAATTTCTATAAATGGTGTTTTTGTTTACAGGAAAACCATTGGACTTTTTGAAACTTCATTGCCATGTTTGAGGAGTGTCCAAAAAAATCAAAATTGTTTAACAATTATTAACCATCATTCACCATTATTAACCATTATTAACCAACCATTAGGTTGAAACCACCAAGCAGTTGACATCTGTGTCCTTTCTCAATTTCCGCACCGCATTTTTTCAGGAGAACGAAGAGCAGATCCGTAAGGAAGGGCAACTTCAAGAGAAGATGCTGCAGGCGGCTCTGTCGAAGAAACCATCTCCCATTGCCATTGGTTGGTTGATTTGTAAAAGGGGTTTGTTTGGAAACTGGAAAATCAACCAACCAATGGGAAAAACCAGGTATGTAAGTGGCATATAGTAGGAGGTCGGCCAGCTTTGTTTGATAGATGCTATGCCAAAAGGATGCTATACGAAAAGGACACATGCAGAACATTTTTAAAGGTTGTGTAACTTCACCAGAGGATTTCTGATGCAGAACATTTGTGAATGTTGTGTTTTTCCAGATCGATCAAAGCTATTCCTAGGAATCCACACTCCCCCAAATTGCCAGCGAAACGTCACACATTGACAACTTGTTTTTGCATGTATTTTTGCATGTATACCAATATAGTCCAATATAATCCAATATACATATATATATATATATACATAGATGTGTATATATATATATTCACATAGACATGAACAATTACCATTTTATATTTTATAGCTAGGTGAATAATATATATATATAATATTTTATCATCTATTCAAAACATGGTCATGGCTTTGCTATGTCCAGTAACCAGAGGGTAATCCATATGAATTTCACTATTGCCCACTAGTAGATATTAACCACTATGAATGGATATTGACAATCTATAGATATCTATTACCCTCTTTAAAAATCAATATCCATTATATGAATGGTAATAGGAACCACTATGAATAGATATATCCATGCCCCATCTGTCTATGCTCCAGATTTTATTTCAGCCAGCTGTTTTTCGTCGAACATTTCGTGCAGGTGGACAAGAAGAGGTGGAGCCAGCCCCCCTCAGCACGTGAGGAGGGTAAGCGTTGAACAAAAAATATTGGGGATTTCCATGGAGGTACCCTCTGGTAAACTAACATATATAACTATGGAAAATCACCATGCTATTAATGGGAAATTCCACTATTTCTATGGCCATTTTCAATAGCTATGTTAAATTACCAGAGGGTACCCCCAATAGCTGGCTGGATGGTTTATTTCATGGACAATTCCATGAAATTATGGATCATGAAATGGGGTAGCCTGATTTCCGGAAACCTCCATATGGACAAGCCATGATCTCCGGTTCGGAAATGCACTAGAAATGGACCAGATATGGACCAGTGTCCATTCTCGTCAGTTTGCTGTGACAAGACATGCGACCTTAAGGCAACAAGAAATTGGAACTTGCACAATTTGTCCTTAGAACAATGGGAGAAACGACAGAGAGAAGGTATATATATATATGTATAGATACAATGTGCATGTGTATATATGTATGTATATATATATATATCATGTTTGATCTCCCTGTCTCTCTCAGAATTGGATATGAACTAATCGAATCTAATCGCGATATTCACCAATAGAATGATGGATACGACCAACAGTGGAGTTACCAGCCGGCAATCCAAGCGGCATGTTTATCCAATCAGCAAACTTTAAGGTATGTAGGTGGATGCATCATGCTCATGAAAATATCCAGCCGCTAGCCTTGTTTCTTTGCTCTCTACACATTTGAAGTATGCCTATTTGACAAGATGTTCATTGATTTTTGCCACAAACTGCCAGCCAGCCATGAGAAAGCCATGACAACCAGCAGGATGTCATCCGCTAGCACCAAGCACAAAGAGGATACCCCCAAAATGTCAATTTCAGTCGGCAAAATGATAAACCACTGGATGGAATGGGGTACCCTATTCTCAGACAAACCCAGATGAAGGTGAAGACAATTTGTCCATCCATTCGTTCTAGTGATTCTAGTGACACCGAGTTTCATTCAAGAGGATAGAACTCATCTGGTCGCACAAAAAACATTGCCATAGCGTTGCCACATGATGACATCTCTTTCGTATTTTCGTTCTCTTTTCCAATTTCCAAAAGTTCAAAGAAAGTTTTTGCACATTTCAGTCATTCACTGTGTGTGTCTTTCCAAATGTTGACCCCAAAAAAACAACGGCCCTTCTCAGCTGCATCTAGAAAATGGCCCTTCTCCCCAAAAGAATCCAGATTGCCAGGGAAATTGTCATGCAGAAGCAGGATGAGAGGGGCAAAATGTCCAGGCTGGTGCTTGAAGGGTTTGAAGGGACATCGCTTGGATCAGTTTGACCGATTTTCTACGCAATGAACAATGCCTGATTTGTACAGATGAGTATAGCATCCCCCTGAAAGATAGACACATAAAGTATCATACAATCCATTTCTAAATAGTGATCACTTGAACCTGTTATGTCTTTTTGGGGCCTATGCTATTGAAAATGATTCAGTACTCCAGAGCCAATCATTCTGCCGGGGTCGTGATGATGGGTGACCATCTTGGAGGTTTCCGGGAAACTTTTCATAGCTTTGACTCTTTGACCATCACAATGTTTCTGTTTCTACCCACGTCAAAGCCTGACTGAGGCTATTTTTTAAAATCGGTCACCATCCAAGAGTGTCAACAGCTTTCCAATCAGGAAGCTGTTCGGATGGAAAGTCACTGATTGGACCTTGGTTCCAGTTCCACTTACCCTTTGGTAAACTAACATAGCCACGGGAAACCATGATTTTAAAGAGGTAAATCATGGTAAACCCACTATAAATGGCCATTTTTAATAGGAATCTGTTCTTCTTTACCAGAGGGTAAAAACCACTGTTTGGCTGGCCAAAATCCCATTTGTTGGCCCGCCAGGGAGTTGTTGGACAAGAAAATCCTGCAAAACAAGGACCGCGGGACTGCGGGACCTCCAGTTTTTGCCAGGCGGGTGATGATTGAATCTGAATATATAAACAGTCTAAAGGGTATTCACTCTTTTTCTGGACTCATATATGTTTCAGGTGGATTACCACCATCGTTGACTTAGGTGGCCCGGAAATCAAGGATATGAAGGAAAGCCTGCATTATTGACACAATGGTGCATTGCTGGTTGTCCTGAAAAAAGGTTATTAGAATACAATGAAATATCATTAATGTACTGTATATTAATGTATATTAATGGCATTATTCAAATTCATAAGATCTAAATCCAATCCAAACTGAGACTTCGTATGATTCATATAAGGGGATTCTATAATCTGGTTGACAAGACAAAGGCACTCAAGTACATTATAATACAATAAGATCTCATGAATCTATTAATATACTATTAATATACAATATATTATGAATAATCTATTAATATGGTACAATAATAGATTGGTACAATTGAATTTCATCGAATCCACCCCAACCCAATCAATTTCATAAGATACAGCTTGCGCTTTCGCGCGTCTTTAAAACCGTCGTCGCTTGCGGGCCTACGGATGCTTCGGCACCTGTGGCAGACCAAAAGTATAATATACTGTAAATCCAACCGTTGGGCCAATTTATTACAGTGTGATACAATACAACAATGTACATATGTAATCATATATACACTTCTACGTAGTACTATCATACAATACTTTGATACTATGCTACAATATGCTACAATATGCTACAATATGCTACAATATGCTACAATATGCTACAATATGCTACAATATGCTACAATATGCTACAATATGCTACAATATGCTACAATATGCTACAATACAACACAGAGCAATGAGATACTGATCTGGTGATGGTGAGCTCCAAATCTTTTGTGACAAGAAACGGTGAACACGAGGCGAACGTCCGCGAACAGTAACATGTCGTCATGTTTTGTATAATGTCAACCCTGGATTTACCCTCTGGTAAACTAACATAACTATGGAAAATCACCATTTTCAATGGGTAAATCCACGATAAATGATCATTTTCAATAGCTATGTTAAATTACCAGAGGGTATAACCCCCTAGGCTGTTTAATTGGGAGGGTACCATTTAAGTACCAGAGTATGACTATCGGAGGAGTACCGCCCTAATCAATAAACCATATGGTTTATTAATCCGGGGTTGACATTAAAGATAGATTTAGGAAACTAGTACTGTAAGTAGCGTGTTTATCATGTCTTATCATGTCTTATCAACATTTCAGAAATTGAACTGCCTTCGACACTCCAGTTGGCTGATGATTAGTTCGGGTAACAAAAACTAACCACTTTTTTGAGGGAATATCGCAATCCACTTTTTTGGGGAAATCCCGTTCTCAACCAAGTCTTGGTTTCATCGTCACTTTTATGGCTTAACCATCATGGCTTCAACCTGCCACCTGTGTCAAAAACATGACCTTCTGACCTCGCAACGACCAAATTCATCCATGAACGATGTGAATAAAATCATGGCCATGGCAAAAACCTAAGCTTACCTTTTTGGTTTCTGAAGTATCTGACAGTCATTGCTGAGATTTTTTGTGAGTCGATACCCTCCGGTAATCAAACATGGCTTGCTGGAAAACACTCCATTTATATATCTATATCTATATATATATATTTCACATTTATCACAAATTAGATTCCCTCCATCTTCGGGAATTTTCCCCGGCATGTTTGATTGAGGGTATCCCATTCATATCCCATTCATATTCTATTAAATTCCATTTATAGGTGATATTGTATATAAATGTATATAATATATTCGCATTTATAGGTCATATGAGTCATATCCCATTTATAGCCATAGGTAATATATGGTGATATTGTATATAATATCAATGGCCATTTCAGGATCCTAAAATGGAGATACCTACCATATATAAGGCCTATGTAAGGCCTATGTAAGGGGATATACCCCCAAAATATGGTCTTATATGCTACAGTACCTCCATTTTAGGATCCTGAAATTCCCATTGATAATATGACCAGCGAATATCCCATTCATATTATAGATAATATTATGACCAGTTGGTGATTTCATCGCGAAATTTCTCGCAACCAAGGAGTTAATGCAGAAGCTCGAGAAAGAGCACGAAGAGAAGCAGGCGGAGCGGCCACGAGCGGCCACGGTGGGCCACGGTGGGGAAGGGGATGGGGCCCCAGGTCGTTCGCTAAGTTGGTGCTTAAATAACTGGAAAAACAATAGTCTATGATACTTATAAACCAACAAACATAAACTATATAATAGATGGGATTATAAACCAACAATGGCCTATATATATCTATATACATATTTAGATGGGCTTACAAACCAACAAACATTCAGCTGAAGGGCAAGTCATCCTGTGGCTGAAAAAAAATCCCGAAGTTTTTCTGAACTCAATGGAGGTTTCGTTCGCTGGGAACATCAACTGTCAATGGTTCGTATTTTCCAGCCATGTTTGAGGGGAATTACCGAATGGGTGGGATGAACATCCAGCTATATCAACTATTGGGTGGAGGTATTGGGGTTTCGGGTAGGTACTATATGTATACACTATGTATAGGTTACGTAATATGTATACCAAGTACATCCTATGTATACAGTAGTATGTGTACATATGTGTACTATGTATAGGTACAACAATTCATAATGGACTCCGGATATGTACTAGGCATCAGTGGCTGCTGAAACTTGGGGGTAGTAGCAACGGATCACTGGCGATTTGTGATTGTGGCGGGTTCTACTACCTGGTTTCTGGGGGAATGTTGGAATCCATAATAATAGGGACACCTATTAATCAACCAGTTTGGGATGGGGGTATTTTTTGTGGTTCATACAGAAACCGTAGTAATGGGAGCGTGACAATCACTTTTCATACATTGGCTTTTTTTTCACCCAGCCTTTTTTGCATGGCACACATGAGAAGAAGACTTATGTAGCGTGCTGTTATTAGATAGATGTGCCATTGCCCATAGGATCCACGTATGGTATATATGCTAACATTTGGGGTATATTGATGGGATCCATGTTACCCATATATGGCTTGTGGGCGTGCGTGTTCGTGCTGTTTCCACCCCTGTAGATTTTGGATCGATTCTCACGTCTCGTTTGTTATATCCTACCAAAGAAATCCCACTCCGAACCTCTGGAGTTTGTTTTATGGGTTTTTATGCCAATTACGAAACAAAAACTTCACCGTGAGAACCATTGGAACCCGCAAGAAAAATCAGGGTGAACCCCAAGTTGTGGATCCTAAGGAGGAGACTTTCCAGAATTTCCTCAAGATTTTCCCCATGTTCCTTCATGTTCCTTCCATTTTCCGGTGAAAGTTGTCCTCCAACCCCCCGTGATTTTAGGCCAACTACGCCAAAGAGATGCTTGCGGAGGAAGAACGGATCCAGAGGCATGGTCTCGGGCATCTCGACGATGGGGATACGAAGCTTGAAAAAACATAGGGCTTTTAGCAGTGAATGGGACTTCATAACATTTATATATTGGAAAATCATAGGGAAAACTATGGGAAACATTTATATATTGGGATTTTCCATGGGATTTCATGAAATGTATTGAGATTTTCCATGGGACTGAATGGAACTTCAGGGAATCATTATGATTTTAGCTGGAATGTTAACCAGAGGGTTAACAGAAATTAAATGGTTAGCCGGTTAGCATCTAACCAGTTGATTTGCGCAGAACCTGGTTGTGTTAACTATCATTAAAATACATCCAACCCTGGATTTTCGAAGTACGGATTATGTGTTGTGGGATCCACCCAATGAATAAAGAATCGCATTCACCAACCATGACCGGGGGTCATAAAGAACATCATTATGGTAATGGTTGATTACTGGATATTATTGGGTAACCTCCAAAAAGATAGAAGCTGGTGAGATCCAAATCCAAAATAGTGGCAGCTTAGAGCTTTTCGGCATCTTTTTTGGGGGTTAAGTCGAGTTGCGCCGCGAAGAGTACTGCCCGCACCCAGATTAGATGCAAATTGTGCAGGTCAGGGACGACTTTTCGAAGTTGAGGAGTAGGGTACTTGGGGATGCAGGGTGAAGAACACGGGCCTACTTGGCCCAACCAAAGCCGACTGGGTCAAGCTTGGCCATCCTTGCCTTTAAGTTGGGCCGAACACTTGGGCCCATCTTGGGCGTAACTTGCGCCGAACTCGGGCCACTTGGCTCCAACTTGGGCCCAACTTCAGCCCCAACATTTCGCAACTTGGGCACGTTTGGACGCAAGTTGACTTTAACATGGGCAACTTGATCCTGTGTGGGGGCAACTGCCGCCGAAGTTGAGGGATCCCATGACTTTTGCTTGGCTAAACGCCAAAAACGCCATGTTCGTTAAACATCATTTGTTTGGTTAGATCACTTGTTCTTCTTGTTCTTGTTCTTGTTCTTGTTGTTGGTCAAATCCCTATTTTGGTTGCTGAACTCATCATTTTTCTTAGTGAACTCCCCCATTGTTTCGCCACGCCAGGTTTGTGGAGGAACGCAAAGTCATGAACCTCGAGAAGACCGCCGTCTTTCGCGAGCGCGTGGCCCAAATGAAGGCGGGGACGGCGGAGATTTTTCAAGCGGCGGCAGTGGGGAGCGGTGCTGAAGAAAGGCCATCGTATGGGCAAATAATGGGAAAATCATGGGAGAATGGGGAGAATCTAGGGGAGATCTTGGGGAGAACGCTAGGATACAACCAAAGTGTTTCGATGGATTTAGAAGTTCGTTCAACCTAAGAAAAACAATTCAGAAAAAAATGAACATCATGAACATCTTCGGAAAATAGGTTTAAGATCTTCTAGTTGTGACACACCATGATTTTTTTGGGAAGAAACATGGACATTTCACCGCGAAAAGTTTGCCCATGGAAATCAATGATGGTTCTTCCACGAAATGGGCAATGCAGGGCCCCAACTTCCATATTTTATGGTGTCTAATACTATTTTTTTGGGGACAAACCAATCA